TTTGCAAGGACCTCCCCTGGTCCTTGCACGGCCAGGAAAATACGGTGACCCGGGCAGCCCGACTGGTGGCCTAGCCTTGGATATGGGGGTATTTAATCAAGTGATTTGAGACGTAGCTTCGGACTGCAGGCATTGCATTGTCTGTGGCAATAAAAAACTTACTAGAGAAAAGTTGAAGAAAAAGTTAAAAAAACGGATGACTGATGTTGTTTTGCCTTTTTCTTGGTTGCAGAAAGTGATGTATGAGCTTCACAGGGCTGATGTGGGCTCGTCGGCACTCAAAAGGAATACCCTGATTAGGGGGAGCGTTAACCAAAGGAGCGGGAACAAAATACGCGATAAGGAGAACATGAAGGTGGGGGATATAAATTTCAATAGAGGGTCGCAGCAGGGAATGTCGCAGGCAGGATCGCAGGCCAGTTATGGGTATGGCTACGGATATGGGTATGGGTATGGGTATTGCTTCCAGCCGAGCACACCGAGCAGTGCTACAAATTGCTATGATATTAACTCGTATGGCACGAGCAATGCCACACCGAATGCCTCCGCTGCTTCGAGGCAGGCGACCAGGCACAGGCCTGGAGACGGGAGTGAGAGGCGTGTCTTCACAGCACGGAACGCGTGGATGGCCATCGGACCGGGTGAGTCGGACTCAGGCACCACAAATGCTCAGCAGCGGGCATGCACACGACACGTGCGGCATGGCACAACGGCGACGACGGCGTTGAAAACTGTGACGGAGACCTCCTCGCTGATCACTGCGGCACGGAAACCGGCGTCCTCGTGGCAGTGGGTCACAGCCATCGACCTTGAATGCGACAACGAGAACGTCGAGAGCATGTGGGGAGATAACCACAGCGTATGGAGTATGACGACAACTGGTGAAAGTGAGAGGGAGAGGGACACGGGGGCAGGCCAAGTTATCAAGGAGATTCAGAAAGATGGAGGATCTAGAAGAGGAGTAGGAGGAGGAGGAGTGTCTACTCTCCGCAGAGAGGATATTGTTGCCTGTAGAGGGGGAGGGGAGGATGAGAGCTGGAACTGTGTTACCGACTCTAGTCGAAGGCGATCAAGTAGGTTTGGCTGTCAACCAGTCATGCAAGGGAGCTTCCCATTTTTCCAAAATGGGAATGATGACTACGTGAGTCGAATGGGAAGGAGATTGACGAATGGCAAGACTGGATCGACACTGTCAGCAAAAGAGAACGCAGCAGCTGTGGAGGGGTTACAGTACGCAGTAAGTCTGTCCGTCTTTTTTTCTCAAATAAAACAAAGGTCTCCAAAAAAACAAACAGGTCTCAAAACATAAGACAACGCCTTTCAGTGAGGGTCGATCCTTTCAGAAGCTTCAGTTCAGTTCATGGAACTTCATCCCCAGTGGAACAACCTGAAGAAGGAAAATTTCAAAAAAAAAAAATCAATTTTTTTTTTTTTTTTTTTAAATTAAAAAATAGAAAATACAATTTATTTTTTTTCCAGGCAGGTTTTTTGAACTTTTTTCCTTCCATGAATAAAGACGCCAAAAACTCACCGTAGCTCATTTTATGAAAAAAGGAAAGTTGAACGGGCGTTAGATCTTGAGGAGGCAACGAGGAGGCAGAGCTGTGTTTCATTGCAGTAGGACGCTTGTCACAATTATACCAGAAAAGGAGAGAGTAGGAGGAGAGTATAGAACCCCTTCTGCCCACGGTAGTCTGTTCAGGAAACGCTAAGGCATACGATTGCGTAGCTATAAATGCTTGCAATTGCATAGATTGGCCTATACTTACTCATTCTGAGCATTGTGTACTATTGCATAGCTATAAATGGCAGTGTCCATCTGTCATTTATAGCTAAGCAATACCTAAGCAATGCTCATGAAGTTGGGTAGGACTGGGTTCTTTAGTTTGTCTCCCGCTGCTCAAAAGCAACCTTGATCCACTGTGATGTTCATTTCCTATGTATTCTCTTTTCATTATGCGTGCCGGTGACATGTAACCGGACTGGTGCCCTCCCAGAATATAAAGAGGGATGTGACTCTACTCTCGCCACCAACGTATGTATCCAGAGCCCTTCCTCCTACTTGGCGCTCAGCGCCCAGACTACAATCACACAGCTACTAACCAGCCTACGGATTGACAATTCAACCTGTTGACGTCAGCAGCAACAACCGAAGTACATAAAGATGTCAACCTTGTAGCTCATCGCCAAGAGCAGTTACGTCCCTCACCTTCTCTCTCTCTCTCTCTCTCTCTCTCTCTCTCTCTCTCTCTCTCTCTCTCTCTCTCTCTCTCTCTCTCTCTCTCTCTCTCTCTCTCTCTCTCTCTCTCTCTCTCTCTCTCTCTCTCTCTCTTTCTCACCCTCATCTTCTTCACCCACGTCTCCACTGCCACGAAAACCACCACCAGACCCCCCCTGACTATGTCCAAGCTCAGCCCGGCTATGGTGGGCTGAGCTATGGCGCTGCCCCTAGCAGCGCCCTGCTCTTGATGATCGCGCTCGGCTGCCAGTGCTAGCGCAAGCAAGCAGCTGAGCACGAGCAAGTGCTCCAGCAGCGCTGCCGCTTGCAATGGCTAGCGCCCGAATGCCTCCCCAGGCACCCGACACTTTCCTATATCGACAGTGCAGGCGCGTTGCCTGCCCTCTGCCTCGTGGGACCGAGTTTCCAGTAGCTTCACTCTCGGCCAAAGTGTCTGCGCCCCAGGCCCATTCAGACAGTGGCCTGGGACTGGATTGGTTAGGCATGCCCAACCACCCCGGCACGAACGTGCGGTGTTCCCTGCCTGCACCACGTTGCTGGACGAGCCTAGCTTGGAAGGCTCACAAAGGTTTCAGATTCTCATAAGCAAGGCGGACGTAACCAACTGGTGCGTGGCAACTGGCTGGCGCCCACCAAGATTTGCAAATATCGACAAAGTCAGGGCTCGTTGAGAGTCAGGCGGCCTTCCTTCACTTCGGGCGGGCACGCGCCTGCTGCAGGGGCCTTATGCCGGTATGCCGAGCGGTAAAAATCCTTGCGTTCACGGTTAAGCTATACGGCTTCAATCAGTTCATGATGGTTTAGGTGCAAACTTTCATATTATTCGATCTCACGGAGCCAAGTCCCACGTGCCGAAGTTCCTTCATTCCTCGCCTTTGATCTCTGCAATCTACGGTCATGGTCGTGGAGTCCGCGTAGTCTAACCGCTTGGAGTCCGCGTAGTCTAACCGCTTGTTGTCTCGTTCGGCGCTCATTGCCTTTGGTACTCAAAAACTGCTGCACTTCCGGATTGTCCTTACACTTCCATCAACGTTTTTCCTGCTCCAAAAAAAGAAAATAATAAATAATATTTAAATATGTCCATTTTTGGAACTGAAACTTACCTTTTATTGTCGATGGGAGCCCCAGGAAAAACAGCGATTTCGTTAAAATGGACGACATATTTATTATTTTATTTTTTGAACGAAATTGAAATCTCATTTTTGGGCCCAAAATTCATGAAATTGAAGGTACAGCATTTTGAAAACGCCCTACCCCCTCGATGTATCTGGACTTAGCTCAAGTCCAGATGCATCCAGGCTGGAAAACGCCGGACCCCTTGGATGTCTGTGGACTTTCAGCTAAGACCAGATACATCGAGGGGGTAGAGCATTTTCAGAACGCCGTACCCTCAATTTCATGAATTTTCGGCCAAAAAATGACATTTGAATTTCGTTAAAAAACATAAAGTAATAAATATGTCGTCCATTTTAACGATATCACTGTTCCAACAGCTCTGCTCAACGCTCATAGATAGGAGAGCTGAGTCCGATACTTTTCCAGTTTTTTTTTTTTTTTTTGGGGGGGGGGGGAAGCTATATTCTTCTCTCATCTATTTCATCTTTCTTGGTAGTATGCATTTATCTCATCCTCTCACTAGTCTAGGTATAGTACGGGGGAACACCAACCAACCAATCGGGATCTCTCCCCAGCCCACGGGGTAGGTGGGGACCACAGCTGTGGTGCGAGAGCAAGAGATTGGAAAAGTACCGTGATGAGGGACTGGTACTTTTCCAATCTTGCATAGGTCCCATTCAAGATAATATATGGTACCTACATATCCTGTCCTGTCCGTAGCCCGCAATATTGTTATTATACGGAGGGTTCCAAAATGAGGATACCCCATTGGGCAAACCTCAAAATAATGCATCATACCCCATTGTGCAGCCCTGGAAATAATGCATATGGTACAGCATACTCAATTGGGCAACCCTCAAAATAATGCAAACCCCATTGAGAGACCCTACACCCCACTGCGCGGCCCTGGATATTGTGCAACAACCCTCGATATATACTGCATACCTCATAACACAGCCATCGATATCCTGCGTACCCCATATCCTGGCCCTCAATATACGCACACCCCGTTGCACGGCCCTAGATATTGTGCAACCCTCAATATATAGTATTATACTGCATAGCTCATTGCACAACCCTCGATATCCTGCATACCCCATTGTGCACCCCTCGATGTACCCCCCCCCCCCCCCCCCCCCCCTCTCCCCCCCCCTCCCCCTTGCACAGCTCTCAATATTGTGCAACCTTCGATGTCCTGCATACCCTATTGTGCAGCCTTCGATATATAGTATACAGCATACCCCATTGTCTGGCATCTGCCTGCTTTTGCATTTTTCCAAATTTCCATCCTTTGCTGAGAAGGACGAAATGGATGGCTTGATTAAAAGAAAATAAAAACATCGAAGTTTTGACTCGCTTAGGCGATTGCCTTCCCGTCTAACCTATGACATGGCTGTGTCAGATTGTGTCGCGATTTAAAACTTTCAATTTTTATTATTACTTGGGAACCGATCTCCAACCCGCAGAACTAAGAATAGATAGATGGGTATTATGTTAAAGCATTTTCTGTATTGGGTTTTAGACATCCGTAAGAGAAGTTGGAAATTAATATTCAAAAAAATTAATTTAAAAACTGGGTGAGGATGGCGCCCGGCCGGGCCAGGCCAGGCCGGGCGTGCCCGGGGGGGGCCGGGCGGGCCCAAAAACACCCGAGAATTTTTTATTTTTTTTTCCGAAGGCGGGGTCTTTTCGCGCTCGGCGAGAGGACCCTAAATTTGCAATAAAATTTTGGGGGTGGGGGGGGGGCTGGGGGGGGCTCTGCATGCATGTTGCCTGCTGAATGCTGAATGCAGGTCATCTGATATGTGCAGTGTTGGGGGCTCTGCATGTTTGTTGCCTGCTGCTGTGATGTCTGCTGCATGCGTGGCGAGATGGGATGGAAGAAGAAGGGATGGATGGCGAGATGGGGTGGATGGATGGATGGCGAGATGTGATGGAAGAAGGAGGAAGAAGGAGGAAGAAGAAGGAGGAAGAAGATGGAGGAAGAAGGAGGAGGAAGAAGAAGGAGAAGGAAGAAGAAGAAGGAAGAAGAAGGAGGAGGGAGGAGGGAGGAGGACGAAGAAGAAGGATGAAGGAGGAGGAGGAAGAAGGGATGGATGGCGAGATGGGATGGAGGGATGGATGGCGAGATGTGATGGAAGAAGAAGGAGGAAGAAGGAAGAGGAAGAAGGAGGAAGAAGATGGAGGAAGAAGGAGGAGGAGGAAGGAGGAGGAAGAAGAAGAAGGAAGAAGAAGAAGGAAGAAGAAGGAGGAAGGAGGAGGAAGAAGAAGGAGAAGAAGGAGGAGGAAGAAGGGATGGATGGCGAGATGGGATGGTGGGATGGATGGCGAGATGGGATGGTGGGATGGATGGCAAGATGTGACGGAAGAAGGAGGAAGGAGGAGGAGGAAGAAGGGGGAGGAAGAAGAAGGAGGAAGAAGGAGGAGGAGGAAGAAGAAGAAGAAGAAGAAGAAGAAGAAGAAGAAGAAGAAGAAGAAGAAGAAGAAGAGCGGAGGAGGGGGAGGAGGACGGCCTTTTTTTTTTTTTTTTTCGTTCGCCGTTCGCGACAACTGCCTAAGGCCGCCGAAGATGTGCCCTGCCCCAAACAGCCAAAAGGCTGAAGAAGATAAAGATCGTCGTTAACTGCCGAAGGTCGACTGATGCAAGAAGAAGAAGAAGAATGGCGGCAGCTCCTGCGAACGGCGACGGGCGAAGGGGGCAGCTCCTGCAAACGACGACGGGCGACGAGGACCGGCTCCAGCTGACGACGACGACGAGCGGCGGGCGAGGAAGACGAGCTCTTGCGAACGGTGATGACGAATGACGGGCGAAGGGGGCAGCTCCAGCGAACAACCACGGGCGGCGCAACTTCGAAAGGTTGCGGGTCGAAGGGGGCAGCTCCAGCGAACACCCACGGGCGGGATGCGGGCAAGATCGCCGCCATTCAAATATGGGCGGGAAACTTGCGATGGCTCTGTGGCCGTCGATCAAGGCGGATTGACGGCCACAGACCCCGCCGCAATTTTCAAACCCACTCCCGCGGGCCTATCGGGCCCGATGCCGCGGGTTTTCGGGCCAGTCGGACCCGGTAGGCCTGCCGGAGCCCACCAGCGTTCAAAATGGGGTCGAAAACCCCCGAAATACCCTGTGCGCTGGGGGGGCCCGGGGACCGACCGGGTGCACACTGCCAGGCCAGGCCGCCCGGGACCCCCCCGGGCCCCCGCCGGTCCGCCGGGCGGCCCGGAAAACTTACCCAGTTTGAAAATTAAATTTTTTTTGGAAGTTTGAGTGATACAGAGAAGATTACGATGGGCGCTGTGCAAGGATGACACGCATAAAAAAGCGAGAAATGGTCCAAAAAGACTCCAAATTTTCCTTCTGTTTAACAAAAAATGAAGGGATTTCGCGCTGGAGGCACCCCAGAGCCTGGCATTAAAGGTCCCAAAGTCCTGAAGGTTCCGAAGTCCCAAGTCCCAAGTCCTAATGTCCCAGTAGGATAGGTTCGATAGGTGTGAGGATTGAGCCCTCAAAAGGGTCACACTGAAGTCCAAGAGAGAGAGCTACATTGGTTTATGCTGTTGGTGTTGCCGGATTGGGCTTGGACATTGACTCACGATTCTTCTGTATCGTTCTCAAATGGATGGTTACTCGGTTCCATTGTGCTATCTGCTCTTGCTTTGACTACTTGGACTTCAGTGTGATTTTGCAATCTGGATTTATGTGCTTCGTCCACATTCATGTTTCTTGCATAGGCCAGTTTGAGGCGCCGTAGGTCTACGTCAGGGAAGCATCCAGAAAAGTCAAGTCGTTGCACGGTCAGTAGTTAAACTGAACAACGTGTATTTTAGGGCATCAGGCCCCGCCGTGCACGCACAGCCTCGAACCGGCACCCCCAGCCACAGGAACGGAGTCTCGTAATTGACAGAAAAGCAGTTGCAAAGTCAGTCCGGTACCCGACAGAAAAGTCCAGAAGAGTCCAGTCCAGTCCAGTCCCAAGTCCACAAATTTGCAGCAAGTCCCAGGAAAGTCCGGAAGCTACCGGACAGACAAGACGATTGCAGCAGACAGACCGTTGCTGACCGGTACCGGTCCGAAGCAGGCCAAGCCACTGCAAGTTCTATATTTAGCTGCTACAGCGCAGCGGCTCATCAGTTGTTCATTCGTGAAGTTCTGGAAGCACTGCTGCTGCTGCTTGTGTGACCAAGCGACTTGGGCAAGACAGCGCTCGAGGAAGAAGAGAGCGCTGATGGCAACCATAGCTAGGATAGTGATGGAGAGGCAGGGCAGCCATAGCCGCCAAGGTCTGAGTCTGACCTGAGCGGGTGTATTCTGGCCACGATCCAAGGCAGCAGAGAGAGAGAGACTGTGAGGTTGAGCGATACAAGA